GAGCAGCGGCTGCCAGGCTGGGAGCGGCCAGGCCCGGAGCAGCCGGGTCTGGTGCGGCCAGGCCCGGAGCAGCGGCTGACAGGCTGGGAGCAGCCAGGCCCGGAGCGGCCGGGCCCGGAGCAACCGGGCCCAGAGCAGCTGGGTCAGGTGTGGCCAGGCCTGTAGCAACAACAGTCAGGTCCAGAGCAACTAGGTCAGGAGCGGCAGTGAACAGACCCGGAGCAGCGACTGCCATGCTGGGAGCGGCCAGGCCCGGAACAGCCGGGTCTGGTGTGGCCAGGCCCGGAGCAGAGGCTGCCAGGCTGGGAGCGGCCAGGCCCGGAGTGGCCGGATCTGGTGCGGCCAGGCCAGGAGCAGCGGCTGACAGGCTGGGAGCAGCCAGGCCCGGAGTGGCCGGGCCTGGAGCAACCGGGCCCAGAGCAGCCGGGTCGGGTGTGGCCAGGTCTGTAGCAGCAACAGCCAAGTCCAGAGCAACTAGGTCGGGAGTGGCAGTGACCAGACCCGGAGCAGCAACTGCCAGGCTGGGAGCGGCCAGGCCCGGAACAGCCGGGTCTGGTGTGGCCAGGCCCAGAGCAGTGGCTGCCAGGCTGGGAGCGGCCAGGCTTGGAGCAGCGGCTGCCAGGCTGGGAGCGGCCAGGCCCGGAGCAGCCGGGTCCGGTGCGGCCAGGCCCGGAGCAGCGGCTGCCAGGCTGGGTGCGGCCAGGCCCGAAGCAGCAGCTGCCAGGCTGGGAGCGGCCAGGCCCGAATCAGCCGGGTCTGGTGCGGCCAGGCCCGGAGAAGCGGCTGTCAGGCTGGGAGCAGCCAGGCCCGGAGCGGCCGGGCCCGGAGCAATTGGGCCCAGAGCAGCCGAGTCGGGTGTGGCCAGGCCTGTAGCAGCAACAGCCAAGTCCAGAGCAACTGGGTCAGGAGCGGCAGTGACCAGACACGGAGCAGCTGGTTGTGGAACAAACCAGAGCAACAGAGGCCAGGCCCGGAGCAGCCTGGCCCAAAACAGCTCGCTCCTCACCTGCCCCTGCCCCACGGCTGCCTCTCAGACATGGCTGGAAACTTTTGCGGGAACTTGAGGGTCTGCTGAATCAAGTGATGAAGGCTTAGATCTGGATGTGTTGAGTTAGTATAGGGCTGGGGTGTTGATCTGTGAGTGCCTTGGGTGGGGCCTGGATGAGGCTGGTTGTCCTATTAGGAAATGTCTTTTGTGTGAAGTGTATCATTGGGCATGTGGAGGTATTATTGATATGAGAAAATGCTAAGTAACAGATTTGCTATCTGAAAAGGGATTTACTATCGGGGAAAGGGAGGGAGGAAGAGACTGAACATAAACTGTGCACCAATGGATGAGGATGAGGGGGCAGAGGGTGGGGTGGGAACCTGGTGGAGGGGGGAAGAAACGAGGAACCTGTGTAATAATATGAACAATAAAGATTGATTAAAAAAAAAAAAGAAAAAAAAAAAAAGAAAAAAAAGAAAGGAACAAAATTGTACATCTGATTGTTTTAACGTGTATGCATGTTTAGTGATGTTTACATTTTGAAATAAAAATTTGATTCATTAAAAAAAAAAAAGAGGTCACAGGTTTGATTGCCAGTCAGAGCAGGTGCCTGTGTTGTGAACTCTATTCCAGCAGTGGGTGTGCAGAATGCAGCCAATTGATGTTGATGTTTCTCATCAGTGTCTCTAGTTCTCTCTTTCTCTCCCTAAAATCAAAAAGAAAAAACATACTAAAAATAAAAAGATGGAAACTAGATTCAAACAAGAGGTAAATTGGAAATAGCATCAGTTTTTACCCTTAAAGGCTGAGCACATCATTATGAGGAACCATTAGATGTGAAGCAATGATGTGAAACAGGGCTGTGTGGTGAGTAGCTTATCATAAGGCAGAACAATAAGTGGCTTGTAATACCTGTGGATAATAGATAAAAACACTTTCTTTTTAAAAAAATATATTTTATTGATATTTTACAGAGAGGAGGAAGGGAGAGAGATAGAGAGCTAGAAACGTCGATGAGAGAGATGACCAGCTGCCTCTTGCACACCCCCTACTGGGGATGTGCCCTTGACCGGAATCGGACCTGGGACCCTTCCGTCCGCAGACCCACGCTCTACCACTGAACCAAACCGGTTTCGGCAATAAAAACACTTTCAAATGACATCTGAGCTCTAGCTGATTTGGCTCAGTGGATAGAGCATCAGACTATGGACTGAAGGGTCCCAGATTCGATTCCAGTCAAGGGCATGTACCTTAGTTGTGGGCACATACCCAGTAGGGAGTGTGCAGAAGGCAGCTCATCGATGTTTCTCTCTCATCAATGTTTGTAACTATCCCTCTCCCTTCCTCTCTGTAAAAAGTCAATTAAAAAAATATATTTTTTTTTTTTTAGAAAAAATGAGAAATGTGTTCATTTCAGTCAGGTTGTACAATTAGTTTTTGGAGAGTCCATGCTTGGGATAAAATGCTATAATGTATTGAGAGTAGAAAGGGGTTTTTTCACTTGGAATCTCATAAGTCCAGGAATAGAACTAGACTGATATTCAGGGGAGAAATATGTTGTAACCCTCTTGGTAAAATCCAATTGATGTAAATGATCTTTCAAAATGAGTACAAGCCAAAAAAGAATGTGTGAAAAGGATATTTGCCATATACAGGCTTGTTTGGGTGCTAACAGGGAAGATTTTGGATTATTTTCTCATTAACTTCCAATTTATATGTACTTACAGTGACCATTGTTTTTATTAAAGCTTAAAAGCTATGAAAAATGAAATGAATAAAGTAACTGACTTGCCAGAACTAGTTTGGCTCAGTGGATAGAGCGTCTGTTTGCGGACTGAAGGGTCCCGGGTTCGATTCCAGTCAAGGGCATGTACCTTGGTTGGAGGCGCATCCCCAGTGGGGGGTGTGCAAGAGGCAGCTGATGGATGTTTCTCTCTCATCAATGTTTCTGGCTTTCTATCCCTCTCCCTTCCTCTCTGTAAAAATTCAATAAAATATATTTATAAAATGAATAAATAAAAAATAAAGTAACTGACTAAAAATTTCCTGTGGCCAAGAACTCATAATATGATTCCTTTATTTCATACAATATAGCGAATTAAAATTAAGAAATATATCCCCATGCCCTGACCGGTTTGGCTCAGTGGATAGAGCGTAAGCCTGCGGATTCAAGGGTCCCAGGTTCGATACCGGTCAAGGGCATGCATCTCGGTTGCGGTTTCTGTCTCATCGATGTTTCTCTCTATCCCTCTCCCTTCCTCTCTGTAAAAAAATAAATAAAATAAATATTAAAAAAAAAAAAAGAATGAAAGAAATATATCCCCAGAGGTGAATCTTTGCTCTTTGGAAGTAAACTTTTGCCAACCGCACATATATATAGAAGAACATTCGCCCCAGCCAGACTGGCTCAGATGGTTGGGCATTGTCCTTTGCACCAAGTTTGCCAGTTCAAAGCCTGGTTAATCTCTTTCCACCCTCTTCCCCTTCCCTTCCCTTCCCTTTGTTTGAATTTTGTTTTTTGGTGAGTGACAGAATTAAAATCAACTCATGGAATCTTCAAGGTGTATATTGCCTCTGGCAGAATTTAATTATTCTCCATATGGATATCTAGTTGTTCCTATGCCAGTTACCAAATTTTTTCCTCATTCCCACTACTTTGTAGTTCCACCTTTAAAGAAAATCAGTAATCTATATATATATACGTAAAAGGTTAAAATGTAAAGTGTCACCTTGGGAGTTCAACTGGGAGACGGAGTTCAATCGTTGGCTATGATATGCATTGACCACCAGGAAGTGGTACAGAATGAAGGAAGGCCCCGGCTGGCAGCCAGCAGCCAGGGAAGGGAGGCCCCGGTCGGCAGCCAGAGGGCCCTGATCAGCCCTGATCACTGGCCAGGCCGGACCTTACCCGGGCACGGATTTTGTGCACCAGGCCTCTAGTCTATGCATAATCATAGGACTGTCTTGGCCTCAAATTGCCTTGATTGGTCTATTTTTCAATACTTTTACCAATACCATAGTGCATTAGTTATCGTAGCTTTGCAATGAGTCTTTTTAAAATATATATATATATATATTTTATTGATTTTTTACAGAGAGGAGGAGAGAGGGATAGAGAGCTAGAAACGTCAATGAGAGAGAAACGTCGACTAGCTGCCTCTTGCACACCCCCTACCGGGAATGTGCCCGCAACCAATGTACATGCCCTTGACGGGAATCAAACCTGGGACCTTTCAGTCCGCAGACGGACGCTCTACCGCTGAGCCAAACCGGTTTCGGCTGCAATGAGTCTTGTATTTGGTAGAGGAGGTCTTCTCATCTTGCTCTCTTTTAATGTTTCTTGGCAACTTAAGAAACACCCATAAAGTAACACCCCTTAAAAATGAGTCCAATTGAGCCTCTAATTCCAACCATTGGTTTCAAAAACTATGGAGAAATATTTGCGACGACATGAATGAAAACACAGGGCATTATGTTAAGTGAAATAAGCCAGACAGAGAGAAACCAATACTGCATGATAGAAGTATATGTGAAATGTTGGGGGAGGGGGGTGGGGGGAATAAAAGCCAACTTCCCAGAAACAGAGTGAAATGGTGGTGGTGGCCTGAGGGATCCGGTGGGGTGGGGAAAACGGGGAGAGATTGGTGAAAAGGTGCAAATTTATGTTGACTACAGTTGAAATTAAGGTTCTCACCATAAGAAAAAAACAAAAAAGCAATGTGAGGTGATGGATGAATTAGATTGTGTGGATCCTTTCACAATGTACTTACTGTACATATATCAATTCATCACATGCATTTTAAGTATATTATCATTTAAAAAATTTTCATTTATCAATATTAGAGAGAGGGGGTGAGGGGGGGGGGACAGAAATTGACTGGTTCCTCCATCCATAATGCATTTATTGGTTGCTTCTTGTATGCATCCTAATAGGAGATCGAACCCAAAACCATGGTGTATTGGAGCAGTGCTCTGAACAATGAGACTCCTGGCCTGGGCCTAAATATATTACAATTTTATTTGTCAATTATACTTCAATAAATGTGCAAAAAAAAAAAAAAAAAGAAAGAAAGAATTTAATTTGTTACAGTTATCTGAGCAGGATCCCAGACTTCCACACCTACTTTTTTAATAATCGTGGCTCATTTCAACTACCTTGTATGAAAATAAAGCATCCTGCCGAAACCAGTTTGGCTCAATGGATAGAGCGTCGGCTTGGGGACTGAAAGGTCCCGGGTTCGATTCTGGTCAGGGGCATGTACCTTGGTTGCGGGCATGTCCCCAGTGGGGGGTGTGCAAGAGGCGGCTGATTGATGACTCTCTCTCATCGATGTTTCTAACTCTGTATCTCTCTCCCTTCCTCTCTGTAAAAAATCAATAATATATCTATCTATCTATCTATCTATCTATTATATATATATATATATATATATATATATATATATATAAAAGAAAGAAAATAAAGCATCTTATCACATTTACGATGTCAAGAGCAGGCTGGTAAGTGATGAGACATTTGAAGGTGAGCTAAAGAAAGAAGAAACATTTCCAATGTTTATAGTAGGCTTTCTTTTTCACATCCGGTATAGTATTTCTTTCCCTTTCTTGACAGTGCATGTTCTTTCATTTGCCAGAAAACTAATTTCAAAACCAGCATTTCAAATTAAAAAAAATGAGAAACTTTAAGTGGTTTTTTTTTGTGTGTGTGTGTGTGGGTTGATGAGAGGTTACTTTTCCTATTTGTGTGTCTTCAGCATTTCGGAATGAATAGCTCCTACAAGATAAACTGTCAGAGATTAGATGCATCCAGGCACAAGCAGACTAAAGAAAGCAACAGCATCATACCCCCAGTAAGATATTCAGCCACAGTTACTGTTTTTGTTTTTGTTACTCCTCACGCAAGGATTTTTTTCCCATTGATTCTTTTTAAAAATGGTTTTGTTGCCAAAACCGGTTTGGCTCAGTGGTAGAGCGTCGGTCTGCAGACTGAAAGGTCCCAGGTTTGATTCCAGTCAAGGGCATGTACCTTGGTTGTGGGCACATCCCTGGTAGGGGATGTGCAAGAGGCAGCTGGTCGATGTTTCTCTCTCATCGACGTTTCTAGCTCTCTATCCCTCACTCCTCCTCTCTGTAAAAAAAATCAATAATACACACACACACACACACACACACACACACACACACACATATATATATATATATATATATATATATATATATATATATATATATATAATGTTTTTGTTGATTTTTTAGAGACCAAGGGAGAGGGATAGAGAGAGATAGAAACATGGATGAGAGAGAAACATCATCTATCAGCTGCCTCCTGCACACCCCCTTCTAAGGATGGAGCCAGCAACCAGGGCATGTGCCCTGACCAGGAATCAAACCTGTGACCTCTTGGTTCCTGGGTGGATGCTCAACTGCTGTGTCACACTGGCTGGGCTCCATTGATTTCTTAAGAGAGAGTGGAAGGGAGGGAGGGAGGAAGGGAAGAGAGAGAGAGATTGATTGAGGATTGGCTGCCTCTCTGGGGATCCCATTTCTCATCCAGGTAGAGCCCTTGACTGGGAATGTAACCCCTGACCCTCCTTTCAGGGCTGCTGCTCTAACTACTGAGGACACAGCCACAGTTACTTTTCAGTCACACTTATGTGCTGTGATTTTTAAAAACCAGGGGAAAGGAAAGAAGGGAAAAATAAAAAAAGTTAGAGGTCAAGTGCTAATAGTGCCTGAAAACTGACTGAAGTGAACCATCTTATGCATTTTTTTTAAAGTGGCCGTTTGCTCAGTGGTTAGATCGTTGGGGTGGAGGGTTCCATTCCAGGTCAAGGGCATTGCTCCTCACCTTCAGGGCGCTGGGGAAAGACAACTAGTGGAGGTTTCTCCCCTCCCACTCCCCCTTCCACTCTTTCTGAAAAGCAATGGAAAAGAAAATATCCTCAGGTGAGGATTAAGGAAAAGAACAACACACACCACAAAAATTTTTTAAAAAGATCTCTTTATTGATTTCAGAGAGGGAAGGTAGAGGGAGAGAGAGGGAGATAGAAACATCCATGATGATGGAGAATCATGGATTGGCTGCCTCCTGCAAGTTCCCCACTGGGGATGGAGCCCACAACCTGGACATGTGCCCTTGACTGGAATCGAACCTGGGACCTTGGAGTTTGCTCTTATCCCCACTGAGCCAAGCCAGCTAGGGCCACACGTTTTTGGTTTTTTTTATGTGTTTTTTAAGTGGTGACCTAAGCAAGCGCTCCCGGCGGAGGATTCTGGGAGTTGTAGTCCAGGGCAGTCAGAGCCACTTCCGCTCCAGGCAGGGGGCGCTGCAGCCCTGGTTTCGCTGGGGGATGGTGCGGAGGACGCGGGACGGTTGCGGTGCCTTCTGTCCGGAGGTGAGTGAGCGGGAGCCTCGGGCCTCCCCGGCCTGCCCGGGCGCGGGGCCTGGGCGCGGGGCCCGGGCGCGGGGCCTGGGGGCCGTCTCGCTCGGAGGAGTGGAAGCCGGTGCCCAGGTCTGTGCCTGCTCCTGGGATGGAGGTGGGGGCCGGCCGGCCGGGGTCCTAGGGTTGAGGTCTCTGGGCCCGGTCCCCTCGCCTCCCTTCTGCTCGCCCTGCCGCCTCCTGACGGCACCTTTGAAGCGTTATTTCATTGCTCCATTGCTCCCACCTTAGCGTGCATGCAGTGCATCCTGGTGGCACTGGATGCGGACCGGCCAGCCACCCCCCCAGCCAGCCAGGCTGTGGGTTCGTGGCTTCCTGAGGGAGGAGGGAGGGAGGGAGGGGGTTTGGGGTGGGGGGTAGGTTTCACAGCAGGAGTGGAGGTTATCTTAGGAATCTGTTTATGAATGCTGCGGACCGTTACGAGTTCAGGAGAAAGAATAAAAAATCCATGCCAGACACAAGGTGTGGCTGGCTTCCTTTCTGCGGAGGGGCTTCAGCTGTGCCCAGAGGCGGGATTTTTAGGGGGGTGGGGGGGGGGGGAGAGGTTCCTCGCTGGGGGTCTCATTAGAATATTCCTCCGCTTTCCAGCTGTGCCCTGTCAGGGTTGGGTCTCCACTGACAGGCCAGCGCCGGCCTGGGGCATTCGTCACTGCAGCCGGCCCTGCCTGGCCTCCTTGGTTTTGCAGCTTTTCTGGGCCTGGAGCTGAAGGACAACTGAATCCTGTATGTTCTCTGTAGAGAGGGAAGGTCAGGGGGGAGGGCTAACCCATGAACGGCCCTCTTAACACCTGGGCGACCTCTGTCTGGCTGTACATCCTGGTATCAGTTTTATCAACAAAAGAAAAACTCACACTTATAGAGAATATACGTTTCTGAGCCAAACTAGCAACAACTGTCAGGAAGCAGATCTCAACGGCTTGAGGTTTTGCTCCCGAGGACGCCAGTTTTTTGCACCTTAATTACTGCATTACAACCAGGAGAAGATGCAGGTGGGTTGCATGAAATGCCTTGGGGATGGATTGCGGAGGTGAGAGAAAGCAAGGCGGGAAACCAGTAAACAATAGACACGTCTTTTCATAGGTGGGTACAGGATAAATACCAGTCAGCAATTAACCGGATAAAAATAACCGTGAGGATTTGTCGTCTCTGCTCAGGTGCATTGGCTGAACCCTGCCGGTCTGGAAAAAGGGAAGTTACCCTGGCATTTCAAAGGGTAACTTAGACCCTGCTACCTTAGACCCTGCTACGGTAAAGATAGATTTTGTCAGGAGAGATTCTAGCCTAGCACAAGCCATAAAGTGCTTTTAGTTAAAAAGTTTTAATTTCAGCCCTAGCTGGTTTGGCTCTTTGAATAGAGCATCAGCCTATGAACTGAAGGGTCCAGGTTTGATTCCAAGGCACATGCCCAGGTTTCTGGCTTGATCCCCAGTAGGAGGCAGCCGATCAATGATTCTCTGTAAGCATTGATGTTTTTTTTATTTATTTTTTATTAAATATATACTTTATTGCTCACAGGTTCGATTCCGGTCAGGGGCATGTACATTGGTTGCGGGCACATCCCCGGTGGGGGGTGTGCAGGAGGCAGCTGGTCGGTGTTTCTCTCATCGACGTTTCTAGCTCTCTATCTCTCTCCCTTCCTCTCTGTAAAAAAATCAATAAAAATATATTTAAAAAAAAAAAAAATATATATATATATATATATTATTGATTTTTTACAGGGAGGAAGGGAGAGAGATAGAGAGCTAGAAAAGTCAATGAGAGAGAAACACCGACCAGCTGCCTCCTGCACACCCCCCACGGGGGATGTGCCCGCAACCAATGTACATGCCCCTGACCGGAATCAAACCCGGGACCTTTCAGTCCCCAGACCGATGCTCTACCACTGAGCCAAACCGGTTTTGGCAGCATTGATGTTTCTTTCTCTCTCTCCCTCCCTCCCTCTTTCTCTCTCCCCCCCTCTTCCTTCCTCTCTGAAATTAAAAAACAAACAAACATTTTTTTAAAGTTTTAATTTCAGACCCTCCCTTGTGGTTACTTTAGGTCTCTGGGTTTGTAAGGCTGCCACGTGGGCCTCCCCTGAGCTTGTCAGGTGAGCATATGGCCCTTTCGGTGCAGTTTGTTGAGGTTTCTCTCTGTAACCCCATTCCACTTGCTGAGGAGTTTCCCTACCCTCCCCCTACTATCCCACCTCGGAGTGCCTCCCTAGGAGGGGTGTTGAGAGATTTAGGGGAAGTAAAAAAATGTAAAAATGCTTAGATGTTATCTAAGGAATTTCGTGAACGGGGTGCGGGTGGTCCCCCTGAGCCCAGCCTGCTCCCTCTCCCATGTGGGACCCTCGGGGATGTCCAACCCCCGGTTTAGACCCGATCCTAGTGAAGTCGGACATCCCTCTCACAATCTTGGACCACTGGCTCCTAATCACTCATCTGCCTGCCTGCCTGATCGCCCCTAACTGCTCCCCCTTGCCCCGCTGGCCTAATTGCCCTTCACTGCTTCTGTGTGCCAGCCTGGTCTCCCCTAGCTGCCCCAGCCCAACCCACCACTGCCAGCCAGTTTACCCCTAACAGCCCCCCTGCCAACCTGGCCGCCCCCAAAGGTATGCCCCCCTCCCCCCCTGCCGGCCTGGTTGCCCCACACAGCTTGCTGTTCAGTTGTTTGGTCATCCCTCCCTAACCCCCCTGCTGGCCTTAGGCAGCCATCTTGTCAATTTGCATATTACCTCTTTATTATA